TGTTTCCCTAAAAACTCCACTCTGAGTCCAGGATTCAGAAACCTTCAGTTCCCGTTAGAACGAAGAATGTTGTTCATGATCTACCCGACCGCAGCAGAAAAGCTCCAGTTTAACTCAAACAACGCATCGTGTGAACAGTAGGCCTGTCAGGACAACTAATTTTGCTGGGCGATTAATTGTCTCAGAAATTATTGCGATAAATGTCAATATTGTTTGAAATTTGACAAAAATGAGTAATTATTGTCAAATTTAAGAAGAAAAGTGGGTTAATTTCTGGGTAGGACCTTTTTTGACCACTGGATGGCAGTATAAGACTGTTTGAACCAACGGATTGATGATAGTGAGGGAGCGAGCAGCGTGTCTCGAGGCCCCTTGTTGTGACATGGGCTGTCACTCGTTCTTGTTTTTCAGTTTTCAAAACGGCGGATGCTCAGAATATTTTGAGCTTTTTAGCATAGCATTTGTCACACAAAGCTTTTAGTACAAAATCAGTAAACAAGTTCTCAGCTTCTTTTTGCAGAGAAAAACAACTTTTTAGACTAACGCAGTTTTCAACTGTGAATTTTGGAGCTTCGACAAAACAGAGTTTTTTCCCCGAAGTCGGCCTGTTAGCTTAGCTCGTAGCTTAGCTTCTTAGCTTAGCTGCTTATAACGATCGAAAAACGTGATTTTGGATCGTTGAAATGGATTTTAAAGAGAAAAGACAAAGGGAGGGGTCAGGGTCAGGTCCAGTAGAAAGAGAGAGACATGAAGAAACGATAACGCCGATAAATGAAAATGAGGTCAGTAATTTTCATTCATCGCGACAGGCCTAGTGAACAGGGCCTAACAGAAAGACGACGGGCGTCTGGAGCCCTGCAGGGACTCTCACTGCCTGACAGGAAGCGGTGTTCAATGTGAGTCAACGCACCGAGAGGTCAGAGGATGGAGAAATTCATATACAATACAAATATAATACAAATTCATCCTACTTGCATCGTGTTACCATGTTGTAGTTTACAATTTGTCTTTAGGACCTTGTAAATATTATATTTTACTTTTTTCATTTTTTGGTACTTTATTTTGAACCCGTGCCCTTATTGCATGCTGTAGTATTTTCTTGTTTGTTTGTTCTTTGGTTTTAGCGAGTCTTCTTCTCGTCCTGAACATTTCATTGTACCTTAACCTGCATTTGACAAATAACCATAACTTGAACTTGAATGTTGGGGACAATGTGAGAACATGTGCAGTCTCAGTCCTTGTTGTACCTTGGTGGTGTGGCGTCTGTTTCTTCTGATCCACATCACTCTCAGTTTGTCTGGTTGCCTGAGTAACAAAGTGCGTACAATAATTATTACAATAAGCATGATTACCCGCAGCACTTTTGATCACAACAGATGGCGTCTCAGCATGATCATAAACTTTGTCCACCTCCTATATACTCATGTACACAGACACAGGACTCTTCATGTCATTGGACACCTGATACAATTGATCAGTAATTATAAACAAGGTTGCAGAGATCAGTTCACTGCTGCTCAGGCATTCATTAATGATTTAAAGTTAGTTACGTGTTCTTGGACAGAGAAAAGCGGTTCATAAGAAAGCCACATCACATAACAATCAGACAAAAGACAGTACAAATATTTTAATTTCATTTCTAGATAAGAACTGGATTTGTAATAAGATCACCACATGGCACATTATAGGCCCATCAACAAACTACTATTCAGCAAGCTATAGAAATGGCCCAGACAAGCAAACCCTTTGTATAACATTTGACCTTGATTAGTGACATTGACCTTAGAGCTGTGTCGATGAAAAGATTTCATGGCATGCTGTTTAGTGGTGGTACAAATGTGTATCGAGTTTCATTAAATTATCCTGCTGATCCAAGTCATTAAACCCAGAGAGATCGCATTTCTCCAGTTTTAGCTTCTCTCCATTGACTCGAACTTACATCTAACATACAAAGCGCTCAACAACCTAGCTCCATCTTCTATTAATTCATTAATTATTCCATAATTTCCTAACAGAGCACTTTACGCTCAGACTGCAGGTTTACTTGTAGTTCCCAGAGTTTCTAAAAGTAGAATGAGAGGCAGACCAACATTTTTCAGTCAGGTCATCTGGACAGTTTCTTTTTTTGTGATGAAACGTTTCGCCTTCGATCCAGAAGGCTTCATCAGTCAAGGAAACACACAACAAAACTGATTCTTCCTCCAACAGCTTACTCTAAAGTGGAACAAACCAGTTCTGTTGGTGCCAAGATGTTCTACTTTGGAGTAAGCTGTTGGGGGAAGAATCAGTTTTGTTGTGCGTTTCTTTGACTGATGAAGCCTTCTGGATCGAAGGCGAAACGTTTTAGCACAAAAAAAAGAAACTGTCCAGATGACCTGACTGAAAAATGTTGGATATATACCTGGATTAATGAGCTAACGAGAGGCAGAGTTTGCAGTTTTATGATTGTATTCTGTGATCAGCTTCCAGTTTGTGTTGTTTCTTGTTTGTTTATTTGTTTTCCTCTCCATAGTAACTGTACCTGGATCAGCCATCCTGTGTATCTTTCCTGTCCTCTCTAACCCCAGCCAGTCGGGCCAGGTGGGTGCCTATTCTGAGCCCGGTCCTACCATAGGTGTCCCATCAATTATATGTGACAGGGACGTGTCCTCCTCACATTTAAAAAGTATTTGTTTGAACCCCCCCCCGACACACACACACACACACACACACATTTACCATGAGATATTAGTTTACCCAGCATGAATGAATCCATTCCACTTGATTAATAGGAGAATACTGTATTCAAACCACTAAAAGTCCACTCCTGGTTTTCCTGGCTACCTAAAACAACTGGACTTTATTTGTAACAGAAGACGTTTCGCTCCTCATCCGAGGAGTTTTCTCAGTTTAAAGAACAGGGATTGTGGGGTTCAGGTTATAAAGCTGAGGTAAGATACATATATATGCAGATTGACCTATGCATGTATGTATGTATGTATCTTATCTCAGCTTTATAACCTGAACCCCACACTCCCTGTTCTTTGAACTGAGAAAACTCCTCGGATGAGGAGCGAAATGTCTTCCGTTACAAATAAAGTCCAGTTGTTTTAGTCTTGAACCTTTTTGAATTTACCATGTCCTGGATGACTGAGAATCTTCACCGGCCTACAACAACTCACTACCCAGCATGCAGTGTTTCTCCTCAGTCACTTGGCTTGGCAGGGAGCTCATCTCTTCAGGGGGTTTTTGTGGACGGGGCGGGGGCAGAGGGGGCAAGACACCTCTGTGTTGTGTTCTGGCCTAGCGCTACATTAGTGCCAGCAGTTGTTGACCAAGGGGTGGGGTAGGGGGTAAGATGCACGAGAGAAGCGGAGCGCTATGTCTGTAGCATCTTAGCTAGCACATCTGTGTTGCGCGCAGCAAGTTTAGCACTACCTTAGTGCCGGCAGTTGTCGATTGGTTGTGTGTGTGTGTGTGTGTGTGTGTGTGGGGGGGGGGGGGTGTAGGATGCGTAAGAGAACCAGAGTGTGCTCTATTCACACAAGGAGAGCTTTTGGTCAGTGCCGTGATATCTAAAATAGTTACTGAATCAAGTGCTTACATTTGTAGGTAAACGTAGATATTTAACAACCTGTTAAAATACACCAGAATGAAAGAAATAGCATCTACTTATGGGGCTGAGATGATGTAGAGCAGCCAACTTGGGACCAGAAAGTCGCAGTTCGACTCCCCACCATTTAGAGCGGTCATTTCTAACCTGAACCTGGAGCCTGCTCCTGCCCATCCCAGATTCAGATCAGGCCAGTTCATAATAATGTGCTTAATGTGCGGGCTGGGTCGGTGTCAGGCTTTTGATTGTGTCAACGGACGCACATTTCTGACGATCCAATATATGGTACATGACTTGCCATACAATCTCCTGCCACACGCGGCCATTTGAACGCGCACTGACCGTAAAGTAAAAAGTTCAGCTAAGCTTGAGATGGACTACTGCCAGCGATCCATCAGCCCAAATGGACGTTCATTCAGCCGCTGCACTCAGCGGACGCACGCGACCGACAACCCAAACAGGTGAGATCATAAAATATCTGACATGTCAGAGCAGGGTTCAATGCAGGGGAAGCATTGAATGCGCTTTGACCACCATGAAAGGACAAACACCCCCTCAGATCCGATCTTATGCCCCCTTTATTCAGCCGAACGCATCCGCCGACCAGCAGTCAAAGCTGAGTAAGACACCTAATCCCTAATTGCTCCCCGGGCACTTAACCTATAGCTGCCCACTGCTCCACCTGGGTGTATCTCACATGTGATGGTTTAAATGGTAAGAACTAATTTCACCATTGTATGGGAACATACAAAAACGACAACACAAAGCACTTAACTCAAAATGTTCTGGGGAGGACCCCCAGACCCCACCACCAGTGTGTCCCCGCAACATTACAAATGCTTCAGACGCCAATGGGTTCTACGGTTCTTCCAGTTAAAACACAGTCTTTCCTTTCCACTGGCACCAGTGTGGTCTTTCAGGATGGGAGGTTGTGACAAAGTGAAGACTCAGCACAATCTGCTCGATCCTTACATAGAGTTTTACTAACGTTTGCTCATTTGTCATCATTATAAATACACGGCACTGAATTGAGTATTTGTACATTCAACACGTACTTTCTGAAAGTTTCATTAAAAATAAGCAGATTGGTGAGATATTTTGCTAACAGGCAGCTATAGTCACACCCAGACAGGGGGGTGTTGCATGAGGAGCTGTGGGCAGCAGCTGATGCTGTCTGAGCTGCAGGGAGGAGACATGCGGAAGTAGAGGAGCATGAAGCAGCATGCACAGGACTGTCAACACCAGGACAACTTCCTGTTTATGTCCAGCCCTCCTGCGTTAAAGCTGAAACATGACCCAACAAGTGGTTCTGCCTTCAGCAGCAGAACCCTCTCGTCAATGTGAGGTTGATCACCAGAGACTCACTTCCGCCTTTTATAGTAAACAATATTAAAGTTCTCATGAAGCGGTCATGTTTGAAGTCAAACTTGTTTTTGTAAGAGTGAAAACAGTCAAGTCGAACAGAGTTAGTAAAGTTTTCTGCTGAAGGACAAGGCTCACGGCCAAAGGGAATAAATGTTATTAATAATCATTGACTCACCATTTCTTCGTGCTTTCTATGATGAGCTCCTCGAACGAGGCGACAAACTGGAACTTGGAGGCTCTCTTACCCACTCTCTGGAGCCGCTTCCACACTGACGTCATGGTTCATGTAAAAAACACGCGTGAAAAGCGGGATGAAACGCAGAGGGCGCGTGCCCCCCACTCCTGGTGACAGCGACACGCCGGGGTTCAGCTCGCGCACACGCCCCAGGCGTCAAGCGCACGAGGACCGACCGGAAACACTACGTAACCGCGCCCTTCAAAATAAAGGCTAAGGTCAGACGTAACTTCTTCTTTCGGCTTATCCCTCTTCAGGGGAAGGTCATACGTGACTAAAACTAGAATAAATACTGCTGAATACTTACTAAGATGAAATTACTTATAAAGCTTAATCTGAATTGTTTAAATTGAATCAGAGCAAAAACTGCAATGAGCACAATAAAACTTAGTTCAGTTTTATTTAAGTAGTGATAGTAGGGGGGTGTCCTGATACTAGAAAAGTACAATAATAATAATAATATAATATTAATAATGTGTATTGTCATCATTGTATGTTCCTATACGGCAAACTGGCTCGAGGTGGAGCAGTGGGCCACCTTTGGAGACACCCAGGGAGCAACTGGGGATGAGGTGTCCTGCTCAGAGACACCATGAGATGTGTAATGACCGGGATCGAACACAGGACCTTTGGGTCCTGAGTTGGCTGCCCTGCCCCTGGACCATCACGGCCCCCACAAGTACCTCAGTTTGTGTACTTGCCGATAGTGAGTACCAATAAAGAGTAGTTAATAAGTTAGTCCTCAAATGACTTAAATAAAAACAAGTTAATTTTATTAAGAACTCTGCAGTTTTTTTACCTTTATTCATCCAGGAAGTTTCACTGAGTCACAATGACTCATTTTCAACAGAGACCTGTTTGGGAGCAGATGGTGGGGGTTGAGGGCTCAAGGGCCCAGAGTGGGGCAAACAAGGGTGGAGGCTGGTGTGTGTGCTTCACCTTTTCCACCCACATTTTGATGTTGTCAGAAGGGAGTCGAACATGCAACCTTCCGATCACAGGCACACCTTCTCTAACCTCTGCGCCACCACTCCCTAGAGTCTGTAGTCTTAAAATTAGCTAAGTGTGTTCATCATTTATCCAAACAAAACTTTATTTTCAGGCTTTGGTTACGATTACGGTTTTGCGGTGTGGCTGCATCTCATCATTAATGTCATTAATCATTAATCATTAATGTAAATCTGAGTTACCACGTCAAAATCCAAGCAGACTGGCTATATTTAGTGTATATGTAGTCTATATGAAGTCTATGTGTAGTCTATATGTAGTATATATGAAGTCTATATGCAATCTATATGTAGTATATATGTAGTATATATGTAGTGTATGTAGTCTATATGTAGTCAATATGCAGTATATATGTAGTCTATATGTAGTATATGTAGTCTATATGTAGTCTATATGTGGTCTATATGTGGTCTATATGTAGTCTATATGTGGTCTATATGTAGTATATATGAAGTCTATATGTATTCTATGTCTAGTATATATGACATATATATGAAGTCTACATGTAGTCTATATGAAGTCTATATGTAGTCTATATCTAGTATATATGACGTCTATATGTAGCATATATGAAGTCTATATGTAGCCTATATCTCGCATATATGATGTCTATATGTAGTCTATATGTGGTCTATATGTAGTACATATAAAGTCTATATGTAGTCTATATCTAGTATATATGATGTCTATATGAAGTCTATATGAAGTCTATATGAAGTCTATATGTAGTCTATATGTAGTATATATGAAGTCTATATGTAGTATATATGAAGTCTATATGAAGTCTATATGAAGTCTATATGTAGACCTTGTGAGATGGATAACTTGGAAAAGAAGCATCACGCCAAATTCAATTTTTGTGTGTATATGTGTCCAGGTACAAAAAGGTCTCTGCTCATGGGTGGTGAAAGATCATTCTGTGGTGGCCAAGGCCACCATTACTATTACTGTTACCGTAACTATTTTTTTTTTTATTGTATCATGTATTTTATAATGTTTTATTGGGTTAGCAAAGCTTTTTACATATTTTATTACATTTTTAACTTGTGTTTTTTGTATGAGCCAGCTGTCAAAGATAAATCTTCATTTCATGGAATGTTATGGACAATAAAGTCATATTGAACTGAACTGAATTGAATAGAACTGGCCACCCTCCAACTCCACCAATTCTTCTGTTGGTGGATAAAATTTCTCCCCCACACACCAGGATCCATCACTCTGCGCTGCCTCGGACTGTCACGAACCTCAATGTTGGAACCCAATTGCAGAGAGATGAGTGAGGCAGGAGTTCAAAAAACCAAAACAATTTATTTTTTAAACAACAAAACAAAAGGCTGTCGGTGCAGCAAAACTTACTTTTGGCAGATTGGATCAGAAATAATGCAGAGCAGATCATCAGGGGGGCAGAAACCAGGCAAGGCAGAAGAGGATTGTGAAGTCTGAGAACATAGAACAGTCACCGGACAAGGAGTGCAGGAGAGACAGGCTTTTTATGAGACAGAGGGAGAGTGGTTAATGAGAGCACCTGGGCAGGTGGCTGATGAGTGACAGGTGTGAATGATAAAGAGTGAGTGGAGAGGCAGACTGAGGAGTGAGTGGAGAAGCAGACTGAGAAATGAGAGGAACATAACAGAAACAGATAAACAGAAAATCACACACAAAGCAGAACAACATAAAATAAAAAGCAGACAGAGACAGAAACTTGAAATGGAAAGAAATGATTTAGTTAGTGGGATGATTGCTTGAAGATATGAATGTTGGTTCCTGGTTGCAGCTTGAAGGAGGTGGCAGAGGCTTGGCAGATGGGGGGGCAGCGGGGGCCGCTGACCGTGACATAAGCTTGAAGGAGGTGGCAGAGGCTTGGTAGATGGGGGGGCAGCGGGGGCCGCTGACCGTGACACGGACAAGCAGATAATAAATAAACAAGTAAATAAATACGTTTTTACAAAGCCTGCGTCTGTTTATATACACAGTGTAACTCCTACCCACTTTAATATCTTTCACCAAAAACATTCATCACAGTCATCTCAAAACTACAAACATTCATTACTCAAATCCCTCAGCGACAGGAGACATAAAATAATCTTAGCCTAAACCTCTGGAATAAAAGACCGTGGACGACATGCACGCCTTCTGGGAATGCTATGCCAACATTTATTTAGACAATGCTCATTTCTCTGTTTCAGTTTGTTGCTTCGACTCAATGCAGGCTGTGATCCAACATGTTGCAGAGATGTACACAAACAGTCCTAAGTACTGAGTTAATTACTGATGTTGAGTGTTGTGGTGTGATGAGTATTATCAAAGACTGAATACAAAAACGGACATTAACTTTGACATGAAAGAGTTCCCCGGTCAGAAGGCCCTCGTCTGTTCCAGGGACGTTCCCAGTTTAGAACCAAGTCTATTAATATTCTCCCCCTGTCACACAGAACAGCCGGGGATACATGCAGCGTAACACACACACACACACACACACACACACACACACACACACACACACAC